ACTAACAACCAGTATCGGACGATTACGATTGAAACGATGTGGCTTCTATGCCGGCTTTGACCATCTTCGTTGCTTACGCACCAACATCAGCTATGACGAAGGCGAAGTCGAAGCGTTTTATATAGACCTCAAAAAATTCTTCAGAGAAAATCATACATTCTTCAAGGTCATTGTCGGAGATTTCAACGCAAAAACTGGACCTAAAAGAACGTCTGAAGAACGTCACATAAGGACTCACGGACTAGAATGGAATGTACAGGGTGAGAGGCTATGTGAGTTTATCATGACGACCCAAAACATCCATAGTAACTCGCGATTCCAGAAGCCTCTTTCTCAGCGATGGACATGGGAGTCTCCCAATGGAGAGTACCATAACGAAATAGAAAATAACTCAGTAAATCGAAGGTTCTGCTTGACCGATGTCGCTGTTGTTCCTAAGTTCTACACGGGATCAGACCATCGCCTCCTTCGCGCAACGTTCCAATTTTCGAGGAGAGAAGAGAAGCCGCTAAATTCGGACAACGAAGTCCCAGAACTACCATAAACTGAGATGTATTCAAACCATTAGTCAGCTCCCGGGAAGATGCCGTTGTTGACAACATCGACAAAGAATGCGATCCACTCGTTGAACATCTTTACGTTAGCGCTATAAAAGCCGAGAGTCCTAAGGTCACGAAGAGACCCTTTTCTCTCGCAGACACTCAAGCTGTTTCGTCAACCTGGAATCACACGAGCTGCAGGCAAGCGAAACCTTGCGTAACCTTGAAAAAAACTTAATCTTTTTAAATTCATATGTTTGTGACGTCATAACATGATATTTAGCTCAGACGGAATTGAAAATCAGGATTTTATCAGTGGCAGTGTAGGACTATGGAAACTTAGACCTTGCTTCATTAATTGCATAGGAACCGGTTCGCTGCGTTAACCACAAAGCATGAATGAGAAATGTTGAGTCACGCTTGATTTAGATACTGGAAGCTATCTAGGATCTTAGTTCTGCCGTGACATAATTTAGAAATTTTTCATAAAGCACTTCCGCTCAGGTTTCTTCGTGAAATATGGTCTTACCCTTATATTACGTGTAAAAGCCAGGTAGAGTTTGACAGAAAAAAAAGCAGCACTGTGCTACAGGATCCAATGTCAAAAACTCGCTGAAAGCTTGGATAAGCATTTCTGACGAGTGCGAAAAATTCAAAAAGCAAACGTATGCTTACAGAACCAACTTTTCTTAAAGTTAAGTGTTTCATTCGTGGCATAGGAGGTAAATCTTAAAACTGATGACTTGTGCCCATCTCTCCTATTTAGTTCTTTTTTCTCCTACCATCATCTATATTTTCTGTGAAATGGTGGAGAAGCTATGTGGCTCCTCTGATTGAAAAAGCCGCACATGTTTTTCAACGGCTTTTACGCAAATTTACCATGAAGGTAGTTGCCTACAGTTCTACACTTATATACGCATTTTACTCACCAAAGAAAAACGTTAGATGATGGAAATTCAGCTAGCCAACTGAGAAATAAGACACTCCAAATTCTGTAGAGTCACTGATAGAAGCTCGCCCAGCACGAAAACCTTGTCGGCGCGGGGGCATTAGAGCGTGTAAGTGCGACGTCTTATCTCAATTAAACGTATTACAATGATATCCAATGCATTCTATAAACGATAAATTCGATTTCAAATAATATTTAGTTTTTAAACAATTTGAACCTTTTGCACGTGTTTTCAGCTCTATCGAAGTCATCCAGACAGTCAAATATGCCACCATATCGCACAATTTCTGGAATACAGTTGAATTCCTGATGGCAGTGTGTAAAGTTTTTGAGACATTGAGGGGATCACTGAAAAACATGGGAAACTGAAATACGACGATATTACTTTGCTGCAGCTCATTCCATCCACGGTCTCTATAAAATCCCATATACTGTAGCAGAATCCACCTTTTCAGATGCTGTTGATTCTCTCCGAGGCAGAGAGGCACTCAGACTGATCCTAAAGTAATTAATGAGATTGCAAACTGTGTGCAACTCAATAAGCTCACTGCACATTTGGAATACTCTCGCCACCTGACCTACATCCATGCCATAGCAGACTCATATAAAAAAGAAAAATATGCATTACTTTCCGTTACAATGTCAAGACCACAACACCACCTGTGTTACATATTTTCAATCACTACAGGTAAAGGCAAATCGGTCATCACATTTTGTGCAGCTGAAAGCGCATTGCCCGGTGATTCCCTAACATACTTCTGTTTCTGGATGACTTATCCCATCAGCACACGTCGCGTACGAATTTTGAATTGCAGTCGCTCAATATGTCGATGACAATAATTTTTTAACAAGCTTATGCTTTTTGCAAATTCACCTAGAAGGCACAAACCTTAACAGTTCTCTTCGTAGATACCACCATTATAGTCCGCTAGTCCATCATAGATTTTAAGAAACTGCAAACATTGTCCGTCAAACAGAACGCTTTTCTCACTTAGATCAACGACGGCAATGGCAATTCTGATAAATTGATTCTTCAGATTTCTTTATAATCTCGTCTGACTTGCATCACACGTTTCTGCAACGGGGCAGGTCCCTATTTCCAACACTCTATTCGTTTCCTCGCCTACTTCAGCATTTCATCTTCCTCATGAACCTCGTAAAATGCTGATCGACCACGTTTCCTTGCAACCTCAAGGATAGCTGGGCAAGAGTATTCCTTAAAGCGCTTGTTATTGATTGCCGAAGAGTGTTGGAGCTTGTGGAATCAATTCCGCGTCGAGTCGCATTAAGTGTCCTCAAATCACTTGACTAGATCCCTCACAGTTCTCACATTACCACAAATAGTTCCCATCAGTTATGAGGGTGTAAATGAAAAACCAAAGTCATTTGCTGGAGAAGAAATTTTTGTAGGAGCGTCTGTAACCATTCGAAAGCTGAGACTTGTGGCCCCAGACCCACGTCGTCGGCTTTTCAAAACACCCTTTATGACGCTATAACGCCCAAGTCAGAAATTATGTTAAACACTCTCCTTTCTCTTTCATTTTTCTTACCCGTGTAATTCGCTGTATACCGCTAACCACGTCAATGTGTAGAGAAAATTTTTGTAGTATCATGGTTAATCGTTTTATCTGGAGTTTCTTTCAAAAACGGAGGAAACGTCCCATATGAGTAGCAAAATATCTATCGCCCCGCTCCGCCCGCCCCTCCCACGGCCATCGCCTTGTCAAATGCTCGTAAGCTTACTTACTTACTAAGATACTTAGATGGTCCATCTGCACTAATTATGTGGATCCCAGCACATTTTCAAGTGGTATATTGCTAGTCGTGCACATAATACTCCTTGGTTTCCTGACGTAACCTTGCAAAGGCTTTTTCAGGTCCTTTATTATGTCATTTACCAAGGAATGGGTTTCGGCGACAAATCCTTGGCCGGGCTTCCTACTAGCTGATTTGGAGGTGGTGCTAGGCCAAAATCAAAAGCAGAGGTAGGTAAGAAAATCAACCGACCGCTTACGAATTATGTAGAAGCCGAAATCCAGCTTGTAAACTACCTTACTGAAAATTTACAACTCGATCATATATTCTCTGCTAAACCGTATTTCCACAAAAAAAAGCACATCGCTAGAATCAGAAAACTTTGAGCTATGAGGTGAATACTGATGTTCTAAAGAAAGACCTCTGTCCTGAGAGATTTGATTCACTAATCAAAAGACCTAAGAAGATCAGAAGACCAAAGAGCTTTTTGGGAACCAAACACATTTTTGAGTTCTCTGAAACCTAAGCTATAGTTTGAGCACTACCACCCTGAGAAAGGAATTTTGTCCAGCGATATATAAGCGAGACAAGAGAAAGCAACACGTGGTTTTATGAAACATGATTTTATTGTAGATGTTACAGCGTTATAAAAGTGTGTCTTGAAAAACCGGCGAGGTGGGGCTGAAGATTCAGATTTCAGCTTTCAAATGGTTAGTAACACACCTATGAAAGTTCGCCTACACTGAATGAGATCGGTTTTTCATTTGTTTACAACCACAAGTATCGATTAGTACTTTGTGTATTAATGTGATTAGCTCGATCGCTTCAATACTTGAGCTCTTGCAAGTTTAATGATGTGCATAATAACAAGGATAAATAAATTGAAGGATCACATCATGGACGTTATGTCTTCTGGAATGACCCACCAAGGCTCATCGGATGCAACTTGTGCAGTCTCACTCGTCGTCTTCAGTGTTACAGTCCACTACACCATAACAGACCGAGCTGGTCGGTGACTTTGCCGTATTAATCAACTTTCTGTCATCGGGTTCATGGCTCGGAATTGAAGCTTTCTACAATAACTTTTGTGATCTCGTGCAAAAATAAGAGATAAACTGCATCACCAAACCAAGACCAAACATCATATAATGCTTTCATATCAAGATGTCAAGCGGTAAGCAAAGACACGACCTCAAAAGAGTTGAACCGGTGTCTCATTCTTCACCGCCGGCTTGGGCTACCATTATTCCATCGAGGCCATCACTTTGCTACCACGGTTTTCTTCGATATACCCTATCGCAACGTCACCAACCAACTTTTCACGGATTGGTTCTGGTAACCACGAATCGGGGTTAACTCAGAGAAGTCGAGAGCTTTTGGATATGTGCAGTCCGTATAAATTGTTTATTGGGTGCTTCAAAAGTGGTATGCTGCCACGACCTCAAAAAGAGTTGAACCCGTGTCACACCCCTAACCGTCGCCGTGTGCTACCACTACCCCACCGAGGCCATAGCTTCAGTACCACTCTTTCTTCGATATATCCTATCGTAGCTGCCAGCAACCAGCGTTCACCGGGTTTGTGCTGGCGATCACAAAGCGGGGTAGAACCCAGATAAGCCGAGAGCTATTGGATTTGTGGAGCCTATACATTTCTTTATTTGAGTGCTTTAAGAGTATTCTAGTATTTTTACTGCTTTTTTTGCAGTGTTATAATGCTCCATATATACCTAAGCGAACAGAGTGGTGAGCAAAAATACGGCCTCAGACGGGAGTCGAACCCGGCTTTCATCCATACCAGTGACGCGGGCTGCCACTACACCTCCGAGGCACATTTGCGCCACAACTCATTCCTCAACAGCTGCTTTAAGAGTGTCATGATGTTTCAGATACACACTTAGAAATGATGAGTGGTAAGCGAAAATTGTCGATAGTTGATATCGAGCGAAACTTGGTAGTTAATAAGTGGCTTCGATGGTGGTGGTAGCATGCGCCGCGATAAGCGCAGGAGCATGGGTTCGACTCCGTCTTACGGCCGGATTTTTGCTTGCTACTCATCATTTTAAGAGGAATATTAGTGACATCATCTTAACGCTGGGGCAGTAAAAAAAAGATTTTCTATGGACTTTCTCTCAAAAGGAGCCTAATTCTTAGGGTTGAAGTCTAAAGAATGGGAAGATTTTGAGTGCTCCGCACTGAATTCTTACCAGCCAAAAATGGCTAACACAAAAGAAGACTGACCCGTTAAAATACTGCAAAACAGGAAAAGCGTATGCTTTGAACTAAATTTTGAAGTGACGACAACGGCGTCAACTAAAGTATCTGTACGTGGTTGCATGCGAGCTTGTTTCGCGGAGTCTATGAATATTTAATTGCTTTAATTTTGTATAATCTCTATCTTACTACTCGTCGGAAGGCGATTTGATCTTGGACGTTTTGTGAATGTCGTGGGAATCCACGAACCTTTCAGTAGCTAACGACAACCTCCTCCAAAGACATTTTCTCCCAGTGTTTTCCATCGTCTCCGTCGACACAGTCTCTGCCAATCTCTGTTTTCCTCAGCAGTTGATCTCTGGAACGTCTCCTCGGATTGAAACTTCCCACGAATCCTTTTTAATAGCGAGTTTATCGTAATGACCAAAGCAAATGTTTCAGTTCGATTCAGGTAACGGCAATGAACAATAGAACGCCTCTGTTGCTCAGTCGTCAACGGGCTATTTCTTCCACAAGGTTGGCTTTACATTTGCATGTATATATTTATGCATATATATATGTATATACGTATGTATCTGTACATATACGTGTATGTGTATTCATATATATATGTGCATATCGCATGCATATATATATATATATATATATCAGATCTCCATAATTTTTTGCCACTAGAGCAATAAACGCCAAGTTTCTTAACCGAAAAAATTAAGTCTGCATGATTTTGGTATAGTTTAATGCGCATTTCCTTGCCAACATCTTGGTATACAATTTACCTAAATTTGCTCTAGGGCACTGTGACCAAGTAGTTGTGATGCTCGCTGCGGCGCGCATGGAGCTAAGACTCACCTTCAGCACTCACCGGCGGTCAACCGGAACGCCCTATGAGACGCTACAACCACGCAGTCCTCGAGATTCAAAAGAGACATACTTGATCAGTATTCCACGGCATTCTTGCAGAAGGCGAAAAACGAACTGAATTAGAAGTACTGGGCTTCGCACAATAAGGAATCACGATAGCAGGTCGTGTGAATGAATAAAAAAATTGATATTCGCTTTGAAATTGAGCTGTCGTTGTAACAAATTTGCTTGCTAACCATGCACGAATGGCGCCTAGAGAAAAATGCTAGTGAGGCGGCGCGTGAGATTAATGGAGTTTGGGGTGGTGATACTATTGCAGAGAGGACGGCTAGTAAGTGATTTGCGAAGAAGTTCAGGACTGGATAGAACATTCTGAAGGATCCGTCGCGTTTGGGTTGCCCACAGGGAGCTTCATTAATCTTGCATGTCTCTTGACTAACATTTCTCATGCATATCGTTCGTGCATGAGTGGCAGGCGAATTTGTGCCCATGATATCTCCATCTCAAAGCAAGTGTTTATTTACCTATTTGCTTGCACGACTCGTCATCACAATTTTTTATCATGGGCCCTCTACTTCTGGAATTCAATTGGTTCTTCGTCTTCTTCACTGAATGACGTAGAATACTGGTGGGGCATGTCTCCTTGCAACCTCGGAAATAGTCTGACTAGAGAGTTCGTTGTTTACTGCCGGAGAAGATTGTGGGAGCGAGAAGGGGGGGAGGGAAGGGGTGGAGTTTGTCTCCACGCGCGTCGTGATGAACATCAAAGCCACTAGGCCACGACGCCCCCAAGTAGGGGCAAGTTGTATAGCAACATACTCACGAGAAGATGCACAGTTGAACGACACCAAATTTGTGCAGTCCTCATTACTTTTGGTTAATAAATTTGACGTTTATTGCGCTTGTGCCAAGTCTTATAGGACAACCTGATGTATAAACATCTTTGTGTATGTACATGTATAGTGCATATATATATATATGCACGTATGTATATGTATATAAGCATAAACACATACACGTATACGCGTGTAGTTGCGTCGATTGGATCTTTACGTGCCCCCAAATATGTGAACTACATATTTATACACATTTGTAAGCGAATTATATACATACATGCATAAATGTATATATACACATACATATGTATAGGTGCGTGTATAAACGTCTATATGTACATGTATTTATACATATATATATATATATATATATATCATTTACGTCTGTAAAAACATGTTCACAGATGCGTATATATGTATGTGCATATAATGTAGCTGCGCAGCATGTATATACACGTAAAATCTGTATTTATGTGAGCCGTGCTTCAGTTTCGATCCTTATGAAGACCCAGTTGCTATGCTCAAACGTGTGAGTTCGTCTCCACGCTTCAGCTCGTTGTCACGGAGGCGAAGAGAGCTAGGACTTAAATCAGTCAAAGAATATCTAGTGAGAAGTGATAGTAGGCGATTCAGGATGAAGAGAAGATCCGACTTGTGAAAGAGTATTCAGAAAGAAAGCAGGAAAAACAGCATGCGTTTTTGTCGACGTACGAAAGTCTTTTATATGAGATCTCTGCGAATCAACTGTACCGATACGAGGAAGGACATCTCTACCATCATGTATGAGCTTTTTTCTTTAGGTGCAACTTCTAGTAATCATTCGATGTCTTAAAAACGGGAATTTAGTACTGCAGTTAGTTTCCGATAACGTCATCTATATGCACCGTAGCAGTGAAAACAAAAAAACAGCGATCTCCAATCCGCCTTGAAAAGTCACGGTTTTTGCAAAGCATTTGAAAATTCTTTGACCGCTTTGCAAAAATTTGTAGGTTTTCATATCAGAATTGTGGGGAAACCATTTCATCGTTCTATGGGCTTAGGTTTTGTTTTCAGTCCATGTTCCGTAGTGAAATAGCTGTGAAACTTAAGGTTAAGAGTAGGAGAGCAAATCATAGTTTGCTTTTCCCTTTTCCAACACACTGTGAAGAGTTTCTCAAAAGTCAAATGTAGCTTCGGAATCATCAAATTTTATGCTATAAAATGATCACTAAAATTCAATTAAAAGACCATCCATAAACCCTAGCCGAGCGAAAAATATGCGCCAGGTGTGAACCGTAATTTATTTTTGCTGCTACAGCACTCTAAAAAAGCCTTTTCAGAAATCAGGTTCAGTATTCAAATTTTCGCAATTAAGTTATCGAACGATCTATAAAAGTGTGAAAAAAACGGTGAAAGCATTATCTTTGAAGAAAATCGACTTAGCTAAAAGTCCATCTTTTAATTACTGTTTCAAGACCGTGAAACCACATTCTCCGCATTTTTAACCCCCAGCGTGGGAACGCATTCAATGCGTTATTGTGTTATTTCAATTGTATTGTTGTTGTTATTTACAATATAATGTCATATATGAACATATTATATTGCTATAAGGAGGAAAATAACAGTAATGCAGTTAAAATAATACAACAGCAGATTTAATGCGTTTTCACGCTGGAAGCTAAAGAAGCAGAGGGTGTGGGTCCACGGTTCCGGTAAGGTCAAAGCCTTTTCCATATCACTACGTTCACTAAATGCTATCTTTTTGCAGATGAGACTATGGTACAGATCGCGAAATCGTTAGGTTGTGTGTTTTTTTATTGGTCTTGTTATGGCTGTTGTCGCAGCTGCAATTGATATAAGGGTGCATTACAGTCAGATAATCAAATTTAGAATATTTACAAACGATGTAAGCTCTCGAGAATATTGCCAAGCTCGGTTGTTTATTTTTCTGAGCATTTCCAGTGCTTTCAAAATGCGACAGAGAGACGGTTCTCACGTGTGCTGGTTGTAAGAGGACGGTCGAAATATCTTGGATGTGCTGCAACTGCCTTCTTGTCGCGATTGCTGGATTTTTGATGATTAATTCACAAATTCTTTCGTTCTTTTTTTTGTCTTGATTAAGTGGTTTTTTTTACATGATAATTCCACTTGTTCTCCCTTTAGTGTATCCGAGTGTCTTAGATAATCTTTTTCGTTCCAGTCGCTGGAGGTTCGGGGATCCCGCAAATCAAGTGTTACCTGAATGTAATCTGGATACCTGAAGTTGTAAAGTTGAAGACGCCTACATCGAAAGCTGTTGGGGTGGTTTGCTCAGTTGGAGGAGACCTATTGGCTAGAAAGGTCTGATAGGTGATATTTCTGCGCTGTAGATGTGAAATGTTTCATCACCTTCCACGAACAACCGATGATTCATTCAGGAGCTGCTATTTGTGCAGGTATTTCTCAAGGCCGATACCCTTTCGATACTGGTATATTTAAAGCTTTCGAAAATGAAAGCTGATAGAGCTTATTTCAATACAAAGCTCCAATGAAATAACTTGAGTGAGCTGTCGCATTGGGCATACGTTGTTTACTCAATTAGATTGAACCGTACTAATAACCCTGATTCCAATCATTGTGTACAGTATAGCATAGAAAAGCGCTTGGTAATGGTTTATGCCATCACAAGGCTTCTTTTGCTCCCCAAAATACGAGAATTTAACTTCTGGAATTATAAACAGGTGCGCAGCGTCGATCCAAAAAGCTCAATTTGATTTGATTAGATTAAACCATACTAATAACCGTGATTCCAACTATTGTGTATAGTAAAGCATCAAAATAGTGCTTGGTAATGGTCTATGCCATTACAAGGCTTGTTTTACTGTTCAAAACTCGAGAATTCTACTATTGGAATGAGAAACAGGTGCAGCGTTGATCCAACAAGCTCAATTTCATTCGATAA